ACACTAGTTATTTCATTGCAGTTTTCTTTTTTTAATGAATGCCAAATAATTTTATAAGGGATCTAATTTTATTCCAGGAAATTCATGGTTACACTCTTCACATACCACCAGTGAAACTGTTTCTAAAGTGCTCCTTGGCCAGGGTATAAAAGGCATGTAGGCCGGGCGGTGGTGGTGCACGCCTTTAATCCCAGCACTCTGGAGGCTGAGCCAGGTGAATTTCTGTGAGTTCAAGGCCAGCCTGGGCTACCAAGTGAGTTCCAGGAAAGGCGCAAAGCTACACAGAGAAACCCTGTCTCGAAAAACCAAAAAAAAAAAAAAAAAAAAAAAAAAAAAGGCATGTAGAGGACAATGATGCCTACTGAGCTGTGAGCTGCTTCCAGATGTACCAGGCTAGTACCGTCCCCATCCACGGCACCCCATGACTCTTCCCTCAGACTGGGCTGAACAAGTGGAGAAATGATTGACTTTGCTATTTTTCTTACATACCTGTCAGCAGCTCTGTTGAAGCAATTCCACTTTTTTAATCCAAGAGGTCACTGGATGCAGCCACGCAAGCCTCAAGTCTGCAGTGACATGACAGAGTGTCTAAGGCCCTGTGTGGGGTCACCAGGCAGGAACTTGATTTGACCTCCGTCAGCTCTAGTAGTTTTGACCTTCAATCTTTTGCTTTCTCTCCCACTGTATGGAGATAGAGACCTACTTTGAAGAGAGAAAAGGGTAGTATGCCTTTTTATAAACACAGGACTTGGCCTTGTGTGAGCTTAGTTCAAACAGTGGACTAGTTCTCGTTCTCCACAGGTCACGCTGTGATGTCCCACAGTGGTCTGGCAGGTGCTGAGTCTTAAGGAGGATTGTCCCATGTAAAGTAATTTGATGCTCAATAAAAATGTCATAAGTTAAGGGAGGGGAGTAGGAACACAGAAGTAACATGAAGAGGGAAGGGGAAGTAATAGGGAAGGATATCTAGGTGGAGAGAGGGATGGGGAGGTTGAGCAGAGGCGGGAGTTGGGTGAGAGATGGGTATCATTAAGGATGCTTGAAAAAGCCGTATGGAAGCCTACTATTTTATAAGCCTCCTAGACACACACACACACACACACGCATGCACACACGCATGCACACACGCATGCACACACGCATGCACACACGCATGCACACACGCATGCACACACGCATGCGCACACGCGCGCACACACACACACTTAATTGGAGGTAGCCTACACAGAGAATAATGTGCCTCCTAGAAGGTGTAGGTTGCCAAATTAAAAGCTCAGTGCCTGGTGTATGGCACCTACGTTGAGCTGTTGGTTTTGGGTGCCCTGAAGACCCTCACACAAAACTGGCTCTTGCCATTGTTCTTAGCTGCCCACCAGAACTTGGTGTAAAGACACCGAGATACCATAGACTTTAGTCACGGTCCATGGAGAAATCAAGTAGACACTGGACAGGAAACTTCCTTCCTGATGGCTGGCTTTTGTAGTGCTGGAGGCACTATGTAGACTGCTGGGGGAAAGTCATCAACCGTCTTACCCAGTTGGGAACCCAGTGAACTCCAGTAACAACTGGTATGACAAGATATGCCTGTGGGTATCATAGCGCCATGGATGTTATGGAGGTAACCAACCATTATCAAATTATATGTGATGCCTGCTCCACAGCAGGAAATGCATGGCTAGTATTGTAAATATGGATCCAGACCCATGGTTGGCAAGTGCATGGGCTCCAGAGGTAAAATGTACTACTATTCGTAGTCTAAATGACATAGTAGCAAACAGCCCTACAAATCCATATCTCTATATCCACAGATCAGTGCAGCTCTCAGACCTCATTGGAGAAGTTTCTTTGTACAGTAGATGGCAGTTAACACAGAAATTGTTAACTTTCTGGCCAAAGTCCAGAGAAAAACGATCTATGGAATTTTCAGCCACATTTAGGACATCTGTATCACATACGTTCCTACAAGGCTCAGAGACCATCAAGGAAGACAGAATGGAAAGGTTGTAAGAGCCAGAGGTCAGTGAGGACTGAGGTAAAAAAGTGTCTTCTTTTTCAGTGAGACAGGACTTCGATATTAGTGAACTCACACAGCTGCGCTGGCCTGTGCAAGACCCGCACAAAATCAAGCCATTCAATATGCTGACATGGGGGAGGGCTTCATAGGCCTCCAACCTCTAACTGAGCAGCTATTAACACTTAATAACTTCTTGGAGAGGGAGAATCGGTTTTCTTTGATGGTAGGTCCACCATCCAGTGGATGACCGCATACCCATTAGTACATGGACAGCACACATTAGGTTCAGTAGATTATTTTTAGAAAGACACGAAGTTGGGAGAGTTGGAGAGTGGGAGTGGATCTGGGAGGAGTTAGGAGAAGGAGTGGGGTGGAAATATGATCAAAATGCATTGTCTGTGTGTATGAAAGTCTGAAAGAATTAAAAAAGACTTTTTTTAAACATCGTAACATGATGGGCAGCTGTTATAGCAGTTGTCATGTTCCAGAAACACTCTGTATCAGTGACCTCTCCACTGTGCTGGAGGACTCCCTGTCCTGCTGGGACGTTTGGCTTGTTCCCCACAGGCCAGGGGGCTTGTTCTTGTTCACACAGCTGCTTTGTGATGCGCCCTGTTAGCAGTGGGACCAGGAGCTGTGGCTATCACTGACTGAACTTTATCCTGAACGGGGCTTCCTTGAAGCAGACCTCTAATCCCAACTGTGAGGAGATGAGTTCAAGACCTGCCTGGGACAATTTAGCACAGCCTTATCTCAAAATAAATAGAAAACAAAGTCCTCATGGGAGGGTTGGGGAGATGGATTAGTGAGTACATTCACATAAAAAGCTAGGCACGACTGTGCCTACAATAATATCAGTGCTGGACGGTGGAGACAGGAGGATCTCTGGGGCTTGCTGCCCAGCCAGTCTCAAAAAATAACCTGCTGGCTGAGCCAGCTCCATAGCCCTGGGTCTCTGCACTCTGTCCAAGTTCCCCAGCGCTTCATACAGCATCCCTGAAAAGGCCTCTGTTGATCATGACCTTCACCGACTCAGGCCATCCGTCTCTTTTTCTCTTACTTGGTCTAAGTGCATTGCTTTTCCAGGTTGGAAATTTGAATTGTTTTGGATGCCAGCAAGCTGGGGATACAAGTGGGGATTCCACCCAATGGAGACTCTCTCTGACACACACAATCATTTAAAACCTTCAGGCTACACATTTAAGTTGTACATGAGCCAAATGAAGCTTGAGTTGACTTGGTCCTCATACCCAGCGTGGTATATCGCGTGGTGTATGTGCCAATATCCCAGAGTCAGAAAATCTGATGTCTCAAATTATTCTGACCCTGAGCATTTTCATGTAAGGGATGCTCAGCCTGTGCTTGCTTTTTCATGTTAGGTTGTAATTTGTAATACCATATAAATTACACACTTTTTAAAAGTGTTTTTTTTTTAAAGATATATGTATGTATGTATGTGTGTGAGAGTGCTCTATTGCATGTATGCCTTTATGCCAGAAGAGGGCGTCAGATCCCACTAAAGATGGTTGTGAGCCACCATGTGGTTGATGAGAATTGAACTCAAGACCTCTGGAGGAGCAGCCAGTGGTCTTAACCACTGAGCCATCTCGCCAGCCCCCTTTTAAAATGTTTCCAAGACAAGATATCACTGTGTAGCTCTGGCTGTCCCTGAACTCACTCTGCAGATCAGGCTGGCCTTGAACTCATAGAGATCTACCTGCTTCTGCCTCCTGAATGCTGGGATTAAAGGTGTATACCACTATGCCCAACTGCTAATTGCATCTTATTAACTTTTAGAGAATCACACATTTTTCACATCTTAGGACCATGTTAAGAGATAACTGTGGTATATACTTCGGGGAATGCCCCCCCACCCCACCTCTGCACAGGCAGGGGAGTCCACGGATAAGTCTGAGGTAGGTGGGGAGAGACATGACCAAGAAGGTGAAAGGTTTGAATTCACCCAAAGCGTATTTATTCAGAGCACTCGAAGTAATGATGTCTGTCCTGACAGTGTGCGTGTCCCAGGGAGCGGCTAGAGTGACTGACACCTCTGGGTCCCAGCATTCCCGGGGCTGCTGGCCTCAGTCTCAGCCCAGCCTCAGATTTGGCATCTGTTCCTGAGAGGAGGTGACGGTCCCCAGATGTGTGCAGGGTTTGCATTCACAGAGGGCTTTTCGTTGCCCTAGAACTGCCCATCTGGCTTTGGCTCTAACTGCAGTGTGACCTGGAGTGCGTCACTTAGCCATTTCTTTTTTTCTTTTCTTTTCTTTTTGGTTTTTCGAGACAGGGTTTCTCTGAGTAGCTTTGCGCCTTTCCTGGATCTCGCTCTGTAGACCAGGCAGGTCTCGAACTCACAGAGATCTGCCTGCCTTTGCCTCCCAAGTGCTGGGATTAAAGGCGTGTGCCACCACCGCCCGGCTACTTAGCCATTTCTGATGCTAAGTTTCCCCAGCTCTAAGGAATGATAGTATTGATGGTCTAGAACAGTGGTTCTCAACCTGAGGTCTTGACCCCTTTGAGGGTTGATTGAACAACCCTTTCACAGGGAAAATGCAGATATTTACACTACAATTCATAACAGTAGCAAAATGACAGGTATGAAGTAGCAATGAGATAATTTTGTGGTTGGGGTCACCACAACATGAGGAGCTGTGTTAAAGGGTCACAGCATTAGGAAGGTTGAGCACCTCTGACTGCTCTCGAAGGTCTCTGGAGTAAACAAATTAGCACGCCAGAGACACGCTGGTGCTAGAAGAGTTGCTTTGTGGCTGTCGTTACCCAGTTGGCCCCACCCACCCATGCAGGGAAACCACACATACACATAAATTAAATAAAATAAAATGGTTCCTTTAAAAGATAAGTAACATTCAGTGGTGCCTCGTGTGTACAGAAAGTGGTGGTCACATCACGGTATAGTAAGTAGAGAGTGGTCCCTGAGACTTGAGTAACTGTGTCTTCCTTCTTGTCTTTGACTTGTCCTCAGGGAGAAACACTCTGACGAGAGCCATGGCTTTAAAGGTCCGGCTTGAGCAAGGGAGAGTGCTCTTCATCACCATGCTTTTCCTGGGCTATTTGGTAAGTACACTCTTATTCTTTCATATGAATATGTATAAAGAATTCATACAATGGTCCCAGGGTTATGAGTGCTGTAATCTCAGCACTGAGATCTCAGTCTGAGGCCAGAAGATTGCAAGTTCAAGACCAACCTGGGCTGTGTAGCAAGAGCCTTTCACAAAACAAACAAACAAATAAACAAAAATAAATACTACCAAGACTATTTTCTATTTATGAGATAGTATGCTTGCTCTCTTTTATGTTTAGGTAGTGCTGCTAAGCCAGGAAGTTTGCCACAGGTGTTAAAATGATTTCATTTAAATCTAGGTAAAGTCATAAAGCTAGTTGCCTTGTTACTCTTAGTGTTATATTAGTATAATGACATTATTTTGGGTTTATAGGCATATTTCTATCACAATAAACCCCAGAGAAGTGGTTCTCAACCTTCCTAATGCTGAGACTCTTTACTCCAGTTCCTTGTGTTGTGGTGACCCTCCAACCATAAATTATTTTTGTTGCTACTTCATAACTGCAATTTTGCTTCTGTTATGAATAGTAATGTAAATATCTGATATGTAGGATATCTGCTATACCACCTAGTAAAAGGGTCATTCGACATCCCCCCAAGGGGTCTCAACCTACCACTTGAGAATCCTGACTTAGACTCTAAGGAGACCATAAATTAATTCTAAGTTGGTTTTCAGGGTCTACACAGTTTATGAAGAAATCAGAATAATTGGTTGTTGTTTGGTGGGATTGAATTCAGGGCCTTGTGCATGCTAGGCAAGTATTGTACCACCAAACTACATCACCAGATAAACTATTTGCATCTACCTTAAGTTCAAAAAGTGTTAAAGATAGAATTTTTAGTGTTTTTGAAAGTGTGATAAAAGGCCTGTGGAGGTTTCTGGTAGAAGTGACATTTATTTGATCTGGAGATATAATAAGGACCTACAACTATAGAGAGAGTCGTTAACACTGGAGACCGTACCCAAAGACTTGGAAGGTGAAGTCAGTGGACATGAAGTCAGCCTGGAGTCTGAAGCTATGAGGAAGAAGCTATGCAGCTGTGAGGAAAACCTCCTTTCCAGCTTTCCAGTTGTCAAACACTGAGTAAATGGCCTGGGACAGAGATAGAATCTCTTCCTCAAGGAGATTACACTTGTTTGTGGCAGAAGGGAAACTTCTCTCTGGAGCTGTGGGAGGTGGGGAAAAGGTCTGTTAGACCTCCAGACTTTCTACAGAGGCCTTTCTAGTCCTGAGCCTACTCTGGATTCTCCTTCCCGCTGGCCCCGGAGATGGAGGCTTGGACTGTTGGAAGGGCTGGTAGAAATGATGGGAGGGAGCTCTTGCTTCCAGCAGGAAGATTGGTCTGTGGTGTGATGAGTCGTTATGATGTGTGTGACATGTAGATGTAACAGTGGCTGTCCTCACAGGATCTCTAAAGACTTTAAGCTTTAATTTAGAACCGCAAAATGGTCGTCAATTAGGTTAATCACGGTGTTCCTGCTTAGGGTAAAAGGTTGAACAGATTGTCTTCTTCTGAGACACCATTAACAATACTGCTCTAGGGGCTGGAGAGATGGCTCAGAGGTTAAGAGCACTGGCTGCTCTTCCAGAGGTCCTGAGTTCAATTCCCAGCAACCACATGGTGGCTCACAACCATCTGTAATGAGATCTGGTGGTTCTGGTATGCAGGCATACATGCAGATAGAACATTGTGTATGTAACAAATAAATCTTTTTTTAAAAAAAAACCCCACAATACTGCTCTATTCATTACTTCCCAAATTTTTATTCTTAGAACTTCTAAGTAAATAAACAGTAAAAACAAGAAGTTTTCAGCCTCCTTACATCTCAACAGGTATCTGTTGTTTTTGTTATTCTTAGATAGGGTCTCCAGTTGCCTGTGATGGCCTCAAACTTGCTCACAGCAGAGAATGGCCTTGAACTGATCTTCCTGCTGAGTGCTTGGATTACAAGCACAGACTGTCACACTCATATAATATGATGCTGGGATCAGACTTGGGGCTTTGTGAGTGCTAAGCAAACACTCCACCATTTGAGCTATATTCCCAGTTTGACATAATCTTATAAATGTATTTTTAAATTTGTATTGAATTATTTTTCAATTCTTGTACAGGTTATTATATGTTGAAATCATCCTCCCCTCTGTCCTCCCTCTTCTCACCTCTCTCCCTCCCATTTGTCCCCTTTATTACAATTTTTTTATTTTCATTTTTTTCTATAGACACATGATTTTATGTTACTATGAAAGACAACATTATGTAGCTCAAGTTGGTCTCGAACTCTCTAGCCAAGGATGACCTTGAACTTCTGATCCTCTTCCCTACACCTCTCAAATGCTGCAATTACAGGCATTCACCCCACTGCATAGGCTTATAATTGCTGGGGACTGACCCCAGGACTTCATTCGTGCTAGGCAAGCACTCTACCAACTGAGCTACATTCTCTTTTTCAATAGAACATTGTCTGTCAGTAGCAAGTAAGGGCCAGTGAGATGGCTCCGTGGATAAGAGCACTTGCCATCAAGCCTGATGACTTGAGATTGATGCCTGGGACCCATATGGGGGAGGGAGAGAACTGACTCCCACAAATTGTCCTCTGACCTCCAAAAGTGCTGTTGCATGTGCACTGCATACTCAACAGGAATAAATAAGTAAATAAATAAATGAAGAAAAAAAAAAGGCAAGTAAGCACATGGTTATAGAATGACAATAATGTGAACTTGTTTTTAGTAGGTAGGTAGATGTCACTAAATTAATTAAGCTAATGAATGGGGGGGTACTTACTACCTTGTTTTTTGATCACAGGATAATTTCTCTATACAAGGTCTATGCTCTGAGCTAAAGCACACTGTTGAGTCCCAGGAAGGGCTGGATGTGGTCAGAGAGGATGTGAGTTTGGGTTCACACAGCACTTTTATTTGGAAGAGTCGGGAGCCGGCCATTGGTCATGTCTGCCACCGCTGCCATCCTCAGGAGGTGGGAGCTCATGGTTCTCAGATAGGGGTTTTCAAAGAGAGTCCCCAAGTGAATGTAGTGCCCCTGGATCTCCATCCACCCAGGGGGCAGCACTTGGGGAGAGGAGGCATGAAGATCTGGAGTTTGAGGCCAGCCTGGGCTACATCTTGAGTTCCTGTCTCGAATAAACCAAACCAGATAAATGAACAACAGGAACAACTCTTCAAAAATGAAATGCAGGGATATCTAAAGGATAACCACAAGTTCTCGTGGGGGTGTGAATCCATCTCACCTGTGTGTGCATTGTTAGAGTTAATTGTGTTTATATTCCTTTAAGATCACAAAAGGTTGGTTTGTTTTTTAATTCAGAAATTTTTAGGTGGCAAAAGCCTTGGGGTCTCTGAGGGATTTCTCCTTCATCCATCATGTTAGAGATAATCAGAAGAATAGCAGATGGGAGTTATAGTTAAGTCTAGAACAAGGGAGCCCTGGTTATGGGATGAATGAACATTCTCCAGGCTAAGAAGGATTTGTTATAGATTTACTTGTCCCATGGACTCATTCAGAAAGTAGCATTTCTTCTTAAAAGTTGAAGTCAACGCCAAGCTGAGGCAGTCTTTACTCTGGAGTATGTGCATAACACTGAAGATGTCTTTCCTTTCGGGCAAGCAGCCCGAGGAGTGCAGTTGAAGGTAACATTCTGGGGACCATTTTTCTTTTTCAGTCATGTGAAGTGATTGGTGAAACTGCAGACTGCAGACAGCAAGAATTCAAGGATCGGTCTGGAAACTGTGTCCTCTGCAGACAGTGTGGGCCTGGCATGGAGTTGTCCAAGGTACATATCAAGTACACGCTTGTACTTAGGTTTGACAAAGCATTCTTTCAAACCAAATTCTTTTAGTTGATTGTTAGCAACACTTTGGGTAACAGGACAGAATTCTTGGCTCATTATGCCACTTTAGCAAGATATTATAGGATTCCCCTTTAATACTTCTAATCCCTGTATCTTTTTGAGATAAGTAGATCCTAACAACCAGGATTCTACTTATATTCTGATCGGATATTTTAGGGGTTAATTGTAAAGAACCAATATTCAACTTAAAGCTTAAACATTAAAACACAAATAACTAAGGGTGAAACAGTGAAAATAGAAATCCTACCATTTTCTGGACCTTCTTTTTCTTAAAATGGATGTTACCATTGCTGGTTGATCGGTCAGTCGTGTTCTGAGCAGAGGGATGTGATGAGGCAGGCCAGGGTACTGAAGGAAGCAAGCATTATAATCTTATAAGGAAAATAGACGAGTCTCCCATCCCCTGGGAGCCTTTGCCTAACACCTTGAAAAGATGAGCAGAACTTCACAGATGCTGAGATGAGTCGACCATTTCTGAAAGTTTATTCTCTTCTCTTCATCTTTTGACTGTAGAGAAGAGAAAATAAATGTCTAGAGAATCAGGTCAGAAGGTGAAGCTTCAATCGGCTCTAAGTTTTTTAAATGAAAAAAAAAAAAATCATTCCACAGTCTCTGTTTGCACTGACCAGGCGCTTCTCCACAGCTGAACAAACTCAAGGATCAGCGGGCTCTGAGATCTCTCAGAGAAGCGAAGCCTTGGAAGTCAGGCAGACACAAAGAGTACAATCCACTCAGGGCCTCACAACCTCCCTCTGGGGCAGGAAGCCGGAACTACCACTGGCAAACTGTCAAAGCTTTGGTATGGAGAAGTGGGAGAATGCAGAGCTCTGGAGCCCTGTGCAGTGTGGCCTCACTCCATTTTACCTCCAGGGTATCAAGGAGATTCTCATGATGCATATTAAAGAGAATTCCTCTCTTCCAACAAGGTTGGTGTGTGTGGGGGAGGGGCAGCTTTTTGAAAGAGGCCAGAGCAATGTACTCTTGAGAAGAGCATCTTTGGGAGAGATTGGAGGGAAACTGGAGGGATATTACCATAGTCTAAGGGGGAGATGGAAAGTCCAGTGCCAACAAACTCCAGTTATCCTGTCTCAGAAGCAACGGAGAGAGAGGGTGAGGGAGAGGGTAAGGGTGAGGGGGCAGAGGGAGAGAGAGAGAATGGATGGATGGATGGATGGATGGATGGATGTATATATATATGCATGTATGAGTACCTTGAAGGTCGTAGTCCAGGGCACAGGCTCACGGAAAGACAGACATAGTGAAAGGGTCAGGACCTGCTTTCAAGACCTCAGAGCTTTCCCACACTAAAGGGCTATATAGAATAATCCTTTTTACCCAGTTCATCGGGCATGATTTGAAACAAAACACTGCAAAGCACACACACACACAAAAATACTAAAAAGCAAAAACTCAATTTGAAGAGACAGAGCAAGCACAGGAAACAAACACGGCAGAAGAATCGGCCTTCTCATAAAGAGAGTTTGAAGTAGCTGTGACTGCTGTGCTGGAGAAGATAAAATGGCATTATTTGAGATAGATGGGCGGGGTGAGCAGAAAGATGGAAATCCTTAAAAAGAACCTAAATAAAGATGTAAGTAAATAAATAATGACAAATGCTTCTACTGGGCCATTGGTCGACTGGATATCTACCACTAAGGAAAGATCTCGGAGCTTGAAGACTTATCAATGGACACCTCCCAAACCAAAAACCATGGAAAAGAAATACTGAAAGAAAAAACAACAGCTGAACAGAATATCTGAGGATTGTGGGGTAGGTACAAAACGTGTAAACTTTCAGAGTGGGAATACAAAAAGAAAAGAGCAGCAGAAATAGTTTGAAACAATAATGACTTAGAATTTCTCCAAGTCAATGCCCTGTAGCTGTAGAAGCTCACAAGAATAATAAATAAATAAACTAAACTTGGGCAACCGTTTTTAAACTATAGCAAAAACGAGGATGAAAGGAGGAAAGTCTTAAAAAAAAACAAGTGAGAAGTTCTAAAAAGCACCTTCTCTGCAAGGGCGCAGAGGTAAGAGTGACCTCTGACCCCTCAGAGAGCATGCAAACAAGAGGAAAGTAGAGTGAACGTTTTTTATAGTGTGAAGAGAACAACCCACCTACCCAGAATCCCGTGCAATGTGAAGGTGTCCTTCTCAAGTGAGGGAGAATCCGGGCACAGTGGCCCTGGTGTGTGATCCCAACCCTTGAAAGGCTGAGGCAGCAAGATCCTGAATTGAAAGCCAACTTGTACTACGTTGTGAGTTCTAGTCTAAAAGAAAAGGGAAGGAGGGTTGGGGATTTAGCTCAGTGGTAGAGTGCTTGCCTAGCAAGAGCAAGGCCCTGGGTTCGATCCTCAGCTCCAAAAAAGAAAAAAGAAAAAAAAAAAAAGGAAAGAAAAGAAAAGGGAAGGAGTGGGCAGTGGGCGGTGAGTGAGTGGGAGACTGAGTGATGTGTAAACAGCAGCAAATCCTCCAGGAGAGTGGGGACGTCAGCATCCCTCTGTGAGAAACCAGCAGAGCCTTGCCCCGCCGACTCTTAGCAAGGTCATAGCTGATGGCAACACCACTGTCAGTCAAACTGGATGTCACTGACATGGAGAGGCACTTTTGTCCAGCGCCAGCAGAATATATGTTCTTCTCAAGCTTTCATGAAGATTTAGCAACCTGGACCGCATGTCAGGTTGTCAGGTCCTTCCTAACACATTTAAAAGGATATTTGAATTGCAAGTGTGATCTGTCCTTCAACAAAGGACAACAGAAACCAGGGACAGGAAGATAGTGTGAGAGGTCCTCAAGTTCTCGGGGATTTAAAAACCACCGTGCTAAATAATCCACGGGCCAAAAACAGGAGAAATTTACTTTTCCTAGGAAAATAATAACAGGCTTATAAAAATTTATGGGATGAAATGAAATAGTATTTAGAATAAGTATGTGGAATTAATGCATTTATTAGAAAAGAAAGTTCTAAAGCCACCTAGCTAAGCTTCTGTATTAGCAAACTAAAGAACAAATCAAATCCAAACTGAGAAGAAAATAAATAATAACAGTTAGAGAGAGAGAAATGGATGAAAACAGGAAAGCAAAGGGAAAAATTAACAACAACAAAAAAATCGGTTCTTCAGAAAGATAGAAAAAAAATCAAACAAACAAACAAAAAAACCCAAAGATAATCCTCTAACCAGGACACATACTACAAATATCATAAGTGATATACTACAAATATCATAAGTGAAGGAGAGTGTCACTGCAGATCATGGACGTGAAAAATTTGACATCTGTAATCTCACAGATGAAATGTACCAAGTCTGTGAAAAACACAATCTACCAAAACTGGCGAGAGGAAGCAGTCTCTGAAGACCTTTACCTACCGAGAAGATCCACTCTGTCATCATGAGTAAACTGCCAAGCAGACAGAACAGGCCAGAATGAGGTCACCAGTTCAGAGTGTTCCCCAGTCTCTCCTGTAAATACAGAAGCGGAGGGCACAAACTCATGCAGTGAGTGTCAGGCTAACAGCACCTACTATCAAAATCAGACAAAAGTAATTCCAGAGAGAGAGAGAGGAAGCTACAGAACAATAACACTCATGAACATAGACATGAAAATCTTCGACAAAACAAATTCATGCCAAGAATATTCCACTTTGTCCTGATGCTATCTCACCAGACAGTGTACTATCATGACTAAGTAGGGTTTGTTCTCGCCATGCAAGTCCGGTTTACCATTTGAAATTCAGTGAGTGTAATCCATCACATCAACACACCAAGGCAGAAAAACCATGTGTCATATGAGTAACCATTTGAAAAAACTTTCAATACCCATTCAAAATAAAGACTCCAGTAAAGTAGGAAGGGAGGGGAGGAATCTACTTAACCTGCTAAAGAATACCCTACCAGAACAACCCTGAAGTTAGTACTTATCCAGAGGAGGTAAAAACCTGTATCTACACAAAATCTGCACAGGGCTGAGTATAGAAGCAGCTTTACTCACCATCACCAAGACCTGCAAGCAATGCAGTTAGTTATCCTATGGTAGGTGAGTGTGAAAACAGACCAGCCAATGAGATATTATTCTGCACCAAAAACTGATATCAAGCTATGAAAAGACATGAAGACCTTTATTATTATTATTATTATTATTTGGTTTTTCAAGACAGGGTTTCTTTGTGTAGCTTTGGTGCCTGTCCTGGATCTGTAGACCAGGCTGGCCTCGAACTCACAGAGAACTGCCTGGCTCTGCCTCCGAGTGCTGGGATTAAAGGTGTGCGCCACCACCACCACCCAGCTGACATGGAGACCTTTACATGCATACTGTGTGACCATTTGGAGATAGCAAAAAGGTTGGCATCTGCCATAAGTCAGGGAAGAGAGGGGGGATAAGTGGATGGGACACAGGATGTCAATATGGAGTTGTCCACCCCTGTAAAATGTATAGCACCAGGACTGAACCCCGAGAGAAGTAAGTAGAGGCTTCAGGTCATAGAACAGCGGTCGTGGAGTGAGTGGACTGAAACAAGTGTGTCATTCAGGCACAAGAAGTTGATAATGGAGGAAGCTATGTAGAGGATGGAGGTGTGTGGCTACAGCTGATATCTCAGAATCCTCCCACTCAGTTTTACTGTAAGCCTAAAACTAGTCTTTAAAAAAACAAAGTCTTGCCGGGCGGTGGTGGCGCACGCCTTTAATCCCAGCACTCGGGAGGCAGAGCCAGGCGGATCGCTGTGAGTTCGAGGCCAGCCTGGGCTACCAAGTGAGTTCCAGGAAAGGCGCAAAGCTACACAGAGAAACCCTGTCTCGAAAAACCAAAAAAAAAAAAAAAAAAAAAAAAAAAAAAACAAACAAACAAAGTCTTGAGGGATGAAGAGGATGAGTCAGTTGGTAAAGTGCATTGAGTGTAAGCATCAGGGCCTGAGTTTGATCCCT